AATACAAATCGCGAGATAAGGATTCCCGGAAAGATAAGGATTGTTTATTGGAAAGAGAACTGTTTATTGGTGCAGGTTTTTTTTTCTACGCATCAAAGTAGAGCGCCATGTTGTCGGAATCATTATGTTTATAGTATGTAGGTTCGTGCAGGTTTACGGATTGCGTCATCGCTGTATTTTAGAACAAAGAGGCAGCATTTGAGCGCCGTTTCTTCGAGGGTGTGATAATGATTGTTAATACAAATTGTAGGCATCGCCATGTTGCTAGATGCGTCATCGTGTTTGGAGGAGAGGAGGTAATTTTGGAATGGTGGGGAGGTATCAGATCACAATAATTCCCGGAAGAGATAAGATAAGGATTGTTAATGCAAATATGAGCCATCGATAGTTTTAATCAATGTCGTGTGCAACAAGCGGGTATATAAGGTCCATCATGACCAAGTCGAGGTAACAGTCGAAATGTTCATCGCGCTATTGGACGAACGTGACATTCTGAGCTTGTCCGCGGAGCAATTAGAAATCGTGCCGAAAGTGATTCTTATAAAAAACTTTTCTCGGTTTGTGGATCACGTGTGGGATAGGCTACCGGATCATTTAAGAACGGATCCGGAAGTGCAAGGTTATCGTCGGTGCTCGTTGCACTACAACTAGGGTGCGTTCCACTTAACGCCCGCAACGACTACGACCACGACCACGATATTTATCGTTCCACTAGCTAGCGGGCATTGCAGGCGAAATCTTAAGTGGAACGATTTTATGAGTAACAGTGCGTAATATCATGGATGCCATAGTCGTAATAGTGCGCCGCTATAGAGATAAATCTGAAGATTCAGACTCATCGAGTTCTGATGACGAATGGAAAGCAATATTATGTGAAAAAAAAAGCGTAAACTTCGCTCGCGAATTCAGAATTATATCACTGTTGTGGATAGCTACATGGGATTCGACTTCAAAAGTCATTTTAGGTTAGTGAATATATACAACTTTATATATTTATTTTACATATTTATTTTACATATTTATTTTATTCTCAATTATCTACATATACTTATACGTACAAGTTACTAACATTTTTTTGTTTACAGAATGTCAAGAATGACTTTTGAATATCTTCTAGAAATACTCATGCCATATTTAATAAGAAAAATAAAAGGTTGTCCGATGATCCCACCTCGTCACCAGTTAATGATAGCTATTTGGAAAATGGCGACTATGGATTCCTACAGGTAATAAAAAATTCAAAATAATGAATAAAATTTTTTATTTATAATCAAAACATATTTTAATAAATTTGTTCCTTAAAGATCTGTTTGCGATCGGTTTAATGTTGGAAGAGCAACTGCAGTTCGGGCTGTGCGCAGGATCACCCATGCACTTTTTTTAAATTCTTCAACATTTATTAAATGGCCTATTGGTGATCATGCTGTAAGGATTATGCAAGGATTCGAAGAAAGCAGTAGATTTCCGAAAACTATTGGAGCCATTGATGGGACTCATATTCGAATTGATGCTCCCAAAGAAAATCCTGTTGATTATATCAATCGTAAAGGATTTCATTCGATACAGTTACAGGTAAGAATCACGATTAATTGATCACGATTAGTCTCTTACTCTTTTAGATGTTTGATTATATGTCTACATTCATTTACAGTTGGTGTGTGATCACAGAACGTTGATCACACATTGTTATGTTGGTCATCCTGGCTCAGTTCATGACCAGCGAGTTTTTCGTCAATCTGAGATAGCCAACTATTTGAATGACGAAAATAAATTTCCACTCGACAGTCATATATTGGGAGATGCCGCATATGAGATTCATCAACATTTATTGACTCCCTTCAGAGACAACGGACATCTCACAGCAGCACAGAACAATTTTAATTATCGTCTGTCAGCAGCCAGAGTGACTGTCGAAAGATGCATCGGTCTGTTAAAGGGACGTATGAGGAGTTTACTACATTGTCTGCCTATGTCAAGAGTGGACTTAATGGCGGAATATGTGGTAGCGTGCTGTGTGATCCACAATATATGTACATTAAGAAGTGATGAAATTGAAATTATAACCATACCCCCAATTCCATCTGAATATAATAGAGATCATGATATTACGTATCAAGGAAGACAGAATGTTGGCGGAATTGCCAAAAGAAATTTGATTATGAATACTTTATAATAAAAGAAAACTTTTCATAATAAAGAAAATTCACTTAATGTAAAAGTTTATACTCTAGTATTAATGTATATATATATATTTTTTGCTCGTGTGTTATATATATATTTTTCTCAACAATATATGTAGTTTAGATAAGAATATCGTAAAATAATAAAACAATACTGGAATTTTTCAAATAAGTATTTTATTCTTTATTTTATTATTCTTTACTTATTCTTTGTAGCTTACATATAAATATAATATTATAAAATATAAAAAATACTATTATATGAACTGTTCTATTAAATTTTAATATTTTAATGAGTATGAAGTAAACTTAAATGCAGCGACTATTACATCACAGTTACATCAAACATCAGTCTTTTGTTCAAAAATAAAATAAAAATAACATTTCTTCTTATTGCACAAAACAATAACTAAAAAAATAAAATTCGATGCATAATCAAATATAACATCATTAAACATTACAAAAATCAAAATGTTGCAGTTTATCATGTTAAATATTAACTACTTTTCAACCAATTTTGTTAAAACTGAAAGGAATTTCTCATCCATTTCCATTCTTTCTTTATGTCTTTTGACTTTTGCTTCCTCTTGTTCAGTTTTTTGAAGTAACTTTCTTTTAAGGAGACTGCACACGTTTTCTTTTGATGATTCTCTTGTTTTAGGACTGCATACCTTGCCTTCTGACGAATCTATAAAAACATTTATTAAATACTTGAATAAAATTTTTACATTTCAGATATTTATCATTAGAATTAAAATGCAATGACAATTATAAAAATGATATGATAATAAAATAAAAAGTTTCGTAATTTCCTCAACTAATATATAAAAAAAGACAAGCACAACATGGATTATACAGGGTGTTTCATAATGTCCGTGCCAACGCTCGTGTGCGAATAGTGCTGTATATAGCTTACCAGATATAGTTTCTATAAATCCTGAGTCTTTGTCCTGCTTAATAGAAAGTCCTGTTGATGATGCAACGGCGACTGGTGAACACCAAGCTTTTTTTGAAAAGATTTCATTCATAATCTGCAAAGGACATGTGTATTAAAGCAATGAAGAAAATGTATAATAAACATTTTTAACTATATTTTTAATCTAATTTTTCCTGTACCTCATAAAACTGCCAAGTTCGCCTATCATTGCCTGATAGATTGTTATGATCTTTCACACTTTTGTAAGTTTTCTTCAAGCTTCTCAGTTTTGCCGCACATTGCGGTCCTGTGGTCAAATGTCCTTTTTCCACAAGGGTTATGCTAATTTCATCCCAGATCTTTTTATGTGAATATTTTCCACTGGAAAATTTGTCTTGAAATGTTTTATATGTATCTAACAGTAATAATACAGCAGTTGTTGACCACCTATACATAGAACCTGAAATGAGCATTAAACATCAGATCAACTGTTTTATTCAACGTTAATTGAAAACTGAATAAACAAATACTTTAATTAACGTACCACTGTCATCAGTGTCATTTTGAAAATTTTCGACATTTGTTTTACTAATTTTTTGAGTTAGGTCTGATTCGATAGAACTTTCCACATTTTTGGTTGATTCTCTCTCTTTTAAGGCTGCGTTTAATAAAGATGTTGCAAAGGTCATGTCTAAAATTAGAGAACGCTACATTAAAGTATAAAAGTATTTTGTACTACAAAAAGTAAGGTTAAATATATTCATCAAAAAAAGTTTTACAATATTTAAAAATATATTATTTACCTTGCTGCGCACGTAAAACATCTTCCGAAGAAAGATTAATATCAATCACTATGTCTTTTTCCGGATCATATAAAGAAACTTTTTCCATCTTTGTTGAAAAGTTTAATACTGAGATTGTGACAACATAAAAAAATACATTAGGTGCGTTCCACTTAACGCCCGCAACGCTCACGATGCCAATACGATCGCGCCGACCCATGTGCGAACCATGAGCGTCGCGAGCTCGACGCGGTCGCAAGTAATGACGTCAGCTATGACGTTTTGAACGCGACTACAACGATCACGGTCGTTATGTGGAACGGGATTG